CTCACCCCCAGCTGTGCTCACCCCCCACACACCCAGGGCCCCTCATTGCGAAACTTCTCACTACCTAGAAAAACAATCCTCAAGGCTATGCCTATACAAGCAAATTAAGAAGAGCTGAGGAAAGCTTTAGGCTCCTGCCAGATAATGTTACACCCCCTTTCTCCTCACCTCCTTAAATTTGCACAATGCAGGACCCATTCCCAACAGGTTGTTTGTGTGAAGTTGCACATTTTGGATGGGAAAGAGGATTTAACACTGTGGACACACACAGCTGCTCTGTGCCAAGAGCGCCTGTGTCAGAGAACAGTCTCACACACAGCTTATGAACAGAGGCAGAGCCAAAAACGTCTGGTTTCCCTATGTTCCTTCTTCCACCTTGAATGAATCCAGGCAAAGCAATAGCATCACTGGCTAATCCTTTCCTGAGTCTTGTGCTTCGCCGCCCCCCCAACCCCCCGATGTGTTTTGATTTGCAGTGGCTGTTGCTTGGTTTCTGCCCAGGCGGGTGCATGTCGGACGTGAGCCGTGCACTCCTGTTCCAGGACCAGCTCCAAACCAATACGTGCCTGCAAGCAAACCCACTCCCCATTTGGGGACATATGACTCAAACGAGCACAGAAATATTTAACTCCTCCATGCCAAGAGATTTTCCAGCACTACACACACAAGGAACAGAGTGCTGAGCAAGAGGTAGACTGCAATCAGCAGTTGTCTGTCTAAAGGGGAACAGATATCACTGCTAAAAAAAAGATGTACACCCAGGCTGTCTTACAACTGGCAGAACATGAACTCTTACCAATGTTTTAGTACACATTCTCCAAGAGGAATTACCTGTTATTACTCATAAAGATAAAATGAAGAAGCCTTTGCACTGTATAATTAGCACATATTGACAATATTTGAAAGGATCTGGCCAAAGCTGACACTTATGCAGAGTCAATTGCTGCTAAGTAAACATGAAAATTACTTGCTTGAAAGGACGATCTGGTAAAGAGGCACCTCTGTGAAACGAGAAGCCTGCAATTCAGACACACTGTTCTGAACACAACCCTGTAACTGTCTATGCAGCAAACAAAACATTCAAGAGCGTGAAGAGTGGGAGGCACATTTTTTTTACAATTCCTTTATTTAGAAAAGCGTGATGGATTTGGGCCTCTCCAGCAGCAGAAAGTATACCAGAAATAATAGTAGTTCTGAGATTGGATAAAACAATACAAAAACAAAAATGAGGGGGAATTGTAAGATCTTTGTGTACAATTAATTTGAGGAATGTGTTGGTACACTGTGGTACTGAGGTCACAATATTGCAGGATTAAAGAAGGAAAAAGATGCCATGATTATACCACATTACTTGCTCAAAGTCAGAGCCTCCCTCAAATTCTGTATACAAATTTGGAAAAGAAAAAGCTTTCCAGGACATATAGAAAACTCAAATTAACGTTTGTAAGTACATCTGGTGTGGGGGCAGAGGCGACAGAGAACTGATTCATAACAACAGTGAACAAAAGAATAAAAACTTAGTCTATCTTCCAAAGTTTTTCCACACATACACTTAACCTTTGGGAATGGTGCACCTTAAGCAAATGAGACTGGATACTTCAATATTAGCCATTCATCTGGAATTGCTCTGGTCCCACCACAGAGCACAGTTCTTGAGCTTTGGGTGTTCCCCACACATGCTCCCCTTCATTCCAGTTCCAGCAGAGATCAAGGAATGAAGGAATCAAGAGGAGGGGAAGGAGGCTGGGATGGAAACGCACACGGCACACATACTCATTGATTTCTGGTTCAGGGTAAGTATCTTCTGTTCTCTTTGAATACCTCTATTTGAACCACAGTTTCCACTGGCAATGAAATTTTAGGGTGTACATCCTTTGGGTCTTACATCCACATAAGACCTCACAGGTTTACTTAAAATGAAATTGCTCTGAGAGTGCTCCATGTGAAGAAGCACCCGTTGATGTGCCTGTAGAGAACAGTATCCTTTCCAGATGCTACAGCATGTTTTCTGAAAGTATGGGCGGGGCTCCAGGCAGCTAACTGAGGGTGTCAGGAATGAAGTCACCCTTTAGCAAAGCCCGTGATGCAGCTTAGGCTCTGGTGACACGTACTTGAAAGGCAGAAACCAAATTTACTTTAATAGCCTTGTTATACTTCTTGATATAGAACCTGTTCTCTGTAAAAAGAGACTCAACTGCTGGTTTAAATGGAACTGCTGAAAGACGTGTTGGTGCCAGGTTCAGATCTCCATACAACCTCATGGCAATAGATCTCATCTGAACACTACAAAACAGAGAGAATGGGGAAATCTCATTGGTCCTGGGGTCCTTGCTAAGTAGACTTCCATTCCAGCAACGGATGATCTTTCTCCTTCTGCCCAAGCCAAGTAATTTCAGCTAAGAGAAAATAAAGCTGGCATGGAGCATTTAGGCATTTTTCTGACACTGACTCCTTAGCAACAGCAAGTCCATTTTCTGTTAGCCAACAAGGGCAACGAGCCAGCACTGTGAGGTGCCTCAGCCACCAGCAGAAAACGGAAGGTACTTGCTCCAGGACAGAGCTGAGCTCAAAGTTGGATATCTCCCCTCTTATGATAAGGACACCATATTGCATATTCCTCTCTCTTTTACTTTAAAAGTAACTTTGTTTCCCTGTTAGATCTGCTCTGACATGAGTCCTGCTGCCTGAACCTGCTCTCTTACTGCAGCTTTGGCCAAAGAACTGGCAACTGCAGCCACCAGTCAGCAAAACCTTCCTGGGTGTTCGGTTTATTTACCTTTTCTCTCTTTTCTCACTTGAAAAGAAAACCAGTGGATCAGCAAGGGAACAAGATCTTATGATGAGAAGGGACTGGGAATCAGAAGAAATACCTAGGACGATGAGCAGGGTGTCTCCTGTGGGCTTCATGAGCTGAAGTGAGGGTGGGAGGATTTAATGCTGTGGTGAACATGAATAGGTTGATGGGCTGAAGGGGCTACGGCCACTTTCCATACACCATCCTAAAGATGCCATTCTCAGGTTTGCACAGACACAAGACTGTAACTTGAGAAGTTTCAGCTCTGCCTCTGGAGCATCCTGTGTAGGAGAAAAGGGACCAGAGTTGTTTCTCTAACTTCATCTGTGGTGAGGTTAACCGGCCTGACCCCAGCACCAGTTTCTGTGCAGAAAACCCAGGTCCTCCCAGGAGCAGGGCTCCAACGTGGCTGTTGCACAAAAAGAGCAGCAGATGTTTATGAGAAAAAATGTAAGCAACGTTTACAAGTAAAGACATTTCTTCCATGTATGCAGGAAGTCTCAAATTTAGCAGACAAGGCAGAACCCCACATATGGTAGAACAGAGCTATAAAAGTTGTCAGCAAGTGATATTCATCTCGATTTAGAAACAACTTGTTCCTACCAAGTAACGTAAATGCGACTGAAAACATGCTTGTCTTTTAGCTGCAAGTGCAGTATGCACATTTGTTAAAGGAACTAAGGAAAGTGCTGGCATGGATTCACTTTTTTGCACCTCACTTGATAGTATCAGATTTGTTGCTCCAGATTACTCATCTTTCTTATTCTATGATTCAATAGCCAACAGCTTCCAGCAAGTGCTGCTGGACAGAATTAAGCAGCATTATTTTGGTTCCTGGTTTGATGAAGCAGAGCGATACATATAGCACAACAGACCACTAGGGTCTCCACACTCTAAGAATGGCATTACTCAGGGAAGTAGGCACTGAGATGCTGTCTTTCCACGGCTCAACATCTACTAACACAGGACATGCAGGTTGAGGAAAAAAAGTATTTATTAACTTCATGCAGCTACTTTACTCTATTTACTTTTGTTCTCAAGTCTCAGGGTGCACAAGGATCTGGGTTATAAAAAGGAAACCTTGATCAGTCATCTTTCCCCACCTCCTTCCTTTGGTGAACGATATTTCAAAAATGCTGTTGTTGCCCAGTGTACCAAAGCAGCTCAAGCAGCATTTACAGGCACTTGCAAGCAAAAGAGCAGTCCTGTAACTGATGTTTGTTTGCTCAGACATTCAGTGAATACAGGCGCAAAGGCCAAAGTCAATCCAATGCCGAAAGAAAAAAAAAAAGGCTAGCATTTACAAAAAATACCTTCACAATGGTTTTGCTCAGCAGCTTGCTGGCAGCAAGACGTAACTGAGAGATGGGATATTCCCTGCACAATCTGGCTCAACCTTGCCCTCACACAACTCCATTTTAGAATAGAACAGCCTGAGTTGGAAGGAACCCACAAGGATCATCAAAGCTTTGGTGCTGCTGCAGCGTGACCAGTGTCCCACCACCCCCTACAGTGGTGCCAGCCATGGCCAGTGTCTTAGTCAGAAACATTGCCTCTACCTTGCAACACCCTGAAGGCATTTTAATTCACTGGGCTTAGACAAAAAAGCATTTTTTGTTCTTCATTGTAACCACATATTTTTTTTGCATTTATTCTATGGGGCCAGTCAGGTCACGCTTAGGGCTAAAAAATTACCAAGAAGCTACAAAAGGAAAAGCCCACTTCATGATCCTACCCCATCTTTGTCACAACTCACTTCTGAGGAAGCTAAAGGTTCATCTCCTCCATCCTACCTACTCCAAGGGCCTCTTCCTCTTCCCCCTCACCCTGTATTTTGGGGACCTCCAGTTCCCCTTCAAATCCACCCCTAACATTCACACCCAGTGCCACAGGCTGCCCTGGGTCCCCAGCAAACCCCATTGTGCCACCATCTCTATAGCCTCCCCCACTTTTCTCGTACTGGGGCTAAAACCATTGCCATGAAACTTATGAGCCCCAACATCCAACCACTGCTTCTCAGATGCCATTTGCTTCTTAAAACCTCATGAGGCCAATGCTCAGCCCTTGGGGTCCCATAAGGGAAATCAAACTATCATCCCCCTTCTGACAGCAGCACATCAGTGGCTTGTTTCTGCTCAGACTATATTTACGACAGCTCTTAGCTCTTAATCCTCCAGTGATAAAGCTTTCTCCACGAACTCACACGCTTATAAATTCAACCTGGTTTATTCCAAATATCACATAAATTAAATACATTTCCCATGAATATTGCAAATATACATGAAATGAACATTGCAATCTTTAAAAAAAGTTTTGGCTTTGTTTATGCAACAAAAAGTGCCAAATGTGGTTAGAACATGAACTTCTCCTGTATTTACTAGATACAAAAAGGTGCAGATTAATAATTTATATTTATACATATGTACACACTCCATTTAATTTCTAGCTTTAAAACAGTAAAAAATGGTTTCAAGTTTATCTACATTAAACATACTCGTTTGCATCTGGTCAGAAGCCCCAGATAAGAGTTGATACAATCATTTCACAACTGCAAAATTAAGGCGCTACCAAAATACCAGTTCCACTGTGTAAAATGTAACAGGAATAGAGAGTGTACAGCTTTCTATTTATCAATTTAAAAGTGGACTGGAGAACAGGGAAAAAAGAGCAGTAAGAAACATGACAAGTTCTACAGGTTAGAAGTACAAAGAGATCTTGATGACTATCAAATGAACATATTAAAATACAGTAGATAAAAGGCCTCAGTGGCAAACAATTAGTATGCTTCTGAAAGACAAAAAAGGTTAAAATATATATATCATTTTGTAGCTTGAAATTTTACAGGTGAACAACAGGTGTAGAGGTAGAGGGATTTTTTTTTTTCTTTTTGGCCTCTTTACGATGTATAAAGAAGGGCCACATTCACCACAGTGAAAAGACTCATCATATATCCCAGCATCCTTGCTTGGATAGCAAGCAAGAAAAGTGTAATGAGCTAGAAAGGCAACGAATCCTGTCTATCTCTTCCAGGAGCTCAGCTCCAATGCTTTCACATGTACCTTGGCGACAAGTTACACCTAAGCATAGACTGGCTGTAACATGGACATCTCCTCTAGAGAGCAATAAGATAGCTAGCTTTTCCTGTGAGGTACTACTGGATGCTGTAGATATTATATGGCAGAGGTGATTTGGTAAAAATGAAACTGGTACTTTCCCTTAGAAAGCAAGTACCACAGGGCAGTGGTGATTTCATTTATTTATTAAAGCTTTGCTATTTGATCAGCATTCAATGTTTTGGAGGAAAAGTCAGCTTTGGGCTGCTAATATGATTATTTGCATCCATACACAGACAATTCCCTTGTTATTATCATTTATCCAAAACATCAGTCACTGAAATATTCACAAACCGCTTTAAACCTTGACTAAAAAAAAATCCCTCTACAGGGAAAAGAAAGTTCCGCTTTCTTTTCAATATCAATCACTCCATTAACTATGCAGGCCTTCATGAACACAGTAATGTCACTTCCTATGTAGAATGTCTTTACACATTACAGAACAGCAGTAAACAACCTCTCTTTTTCCATAGGGTTTTCTCTCAGAAGTACCTCAAAAGTAGGTATCTTGAACAAATCACTTTTGCAAAGAAGAATATTAACATTAACGTTTACTGAGGCAAAGCCAAGAAGACACTAACTAGCACCTTGATATTTTTTTTCTTAAATGCACTCCTATCTGTAAAATTAAGCACATATAAGATCGGGACCAGCAATATACAAATACAATTGGCATCCTCTTTCAGCTAAGCTAGTAATACTCAAAACTAGGCAGACACACAAACAAGCAAGATGAGTGAGTCTCGAAGAAATACACAGCATGGAAAGGAATGGGAAGAACAGGAAGCTGAACAGAAAGGATTGCAAGATCAAATACAGTCCATCTTCTGGTCCGAGAATTAGTTTGTGAAATCACCTTTCAGTAGCTCAGCTGACAGTGGGCTGAAGACCTACTGACTTCTGACATTTCCTCCCCCACGTACTTAACCAGTCCTTTACACTTCAATGAATTCCTCTTCCTCATCTTCAAATCCTGGAGGAAATGCATTTAACTTGAATTTTGAGTATTTTGGTGGTGGTAGCAGAACTTGCAGAAGGCTACTGTAGAGGTTATGACATCATTGGTTGTACATTATGCACTTCACAATTCAGAGAATATACTTACAAACTACTTAAATAGAAAAGGCGTGTTCAAGGTAGAGGCAGTTACAGTACATTCAGGGTATGTTACAGAAACCATTTGTGGTAGCCATTTGCTGAAAGGAAAAAAAACTCTCAATTTTTGTTTCCCAGACCACACAGGTTATAACTACAATACCCAAAGAGAGCAGGAAATATATCTCAATCACGGCATTTTAATGCAGTCTTCTTCCAGAATTCATGTGCAAAGTGGAAAAAAAAAAGTTTAAATACCTCTTCATTGACAAATAAGGACAAAAGAACTAAAAAAGAAACCAGGCACTTTGACCATGTAGGTAAGCAGCCATTTCTTCTTACCAGACTTCTGCACATGAACAAGTCTTTACATTGGTCTTGCTATACTTGCAGCACATGGAGATTCAAGTCAATTTTTTTTCCCTGTTGGTAGTATCAGTTCTAGTTATAGGAAACTGTGCCAACTGAATTGGTAACACTGAGTTATTTCATTGGCAGTTGAGCTAATATTGATCATTTGACTGACAAGCGATCAATTTAATAGCTATCAAAATTAGATAATAACAAAATAATACATAAAAAATAATCAAAGAGACAAATGAAGGTTAACACCTGACTTAAGCTTGCATTGAGACTTGCCTTTATAGGTTCGGTTTGTGACTCCTTTCACGGTGTTACTGTGGACTGATTCCCATCACATACAGCAACTGGTACTAAACTACAATACTTTCGGTTTGAAACACGTTCAGTAGAGATCACCTCAATGTAACGGGAGGTTGGCACGACACTGCAGGAAGGAGGGAGATGGAAACCTCCCCATCTTTCATCCTCGCTGGTCCCACTCGCAGAGCAGGTGCTCAGAGTAAACTGCAGCATGCCTCCCTCCTACTTGGGGTGAAATCATTATTTCACAGCAGTGTTTATCATACTTTAGGGAGCGGCTTGATTTGAATTTAGCGGTAAGACCTGCTAGGATTACTTTGGTTTTTCTTTTCAAAGAAACCAAAGTACACCTTTCCAAACATTTTGTACATACTCATTCTGCTACAACACATAAATCACAAAGGAGGGATTACCTAAGGCTACTTAATAGTGTACTTATTCAGTAGCTATTATTCTTTCATCAAACATCCTCAGATGCCTTGACCACAAATGCTTGTTTTTTCCTCAGACTACTATTTGCTGAAGAGAGAGAGAGAGAGAGAGAGAGAGAGAGGGAGAGAGAAAGCGAGATGTGGGTTTATGACAGAGTGCCTTCCGATTCACTGACAGACAGTAGTGTCAGTTATAGTCTTCATGCATACTTCTGCTGGGTAGCAACAACTCCTCTTCTGCTCACTACAAGTCTAGGAAACACCTCTTCAATCCATTGTTCAGTTTCCTTTTCCTACCAAGTGAAAATCCAAATCACATGCAGGCCAATGGTGCTACTCTAGTACTTAACTCTCTTGCAGGCTAGAAACATCAACTCTATCGCAGTACTTTGAAGCAATTATCCACATCCATCAGCTACACTCTAAATGTAGCACAGCTTTGTAGAGGCTCAGTTTTCATCAGGATAACAGGAGAGTGTGCAAGGTTTGGTGAATACCCAGGATAACAAACTGATGCAATCGATGGATGCAGGACATAGTCAGAAAGGGCTGCTTTTTTTTGAAGGAATCTTTGAAAAATACAAAAACAACCCCTCCCCTTTGCCCTCCCCTAGAACGACCTATCATGAGATGTTTTTTCAGTGCCCACTCAACCGAAGTCCATGTTATCTGGGTCTTTTGCGAGTCACAAATATCAATACGCGTCTGATGGCAATAAGACGATCTTTAAGGGAGGTCATAGCCAATATAGCCAGCTGAGCTCTGTTTTCCAGAGGCAGCACTGCCAAGAGCCACCAGTACCAGGCAGGACCACTGGGGTTGCTCTGCAAAAGAATAGAAAGATGTATTCACCAATTATGTATTCACCAGCACTGCCCCATTAAGAACATCGCCTTCCTTCTCACCTTTTATTTGCTAAAAAAGTTACCACAAAACAGTTCAAGCAACAATTAAACACTTAATTGCAGATGTTCTCCTTGTCTATATATACCACTAAGAACTTATTCCTTCAGCTATCAAGTTACATAGATACGCTGTTTTCCATGCTTCATGGGTAAATAAGATTTAAAATGTACAAAACCACGACAAAAATCTGTCAAAAAACAGTCTACTGTAAAAATTTGGTATAGAATAAGGCTGTTTAAGTAGGAAGGTTCTATTACCTGTGGCTCTGGTTCTTTTCCTGGCATGGACCCAAAATGATTGAGAATTTGCACTTTCATATTGTCTTTAAGAGAAGTAAACCAGGCAACAGCTTGATCATAAACTGAATCATGAAGACGAACAAGTTCTTCATATTCTGGTCCTTCAACCTTATTGTTAAAAGAAGGGAGATGGAACAAAAACAGGTTTGATACCGTGGAGCCCATATGCTTCCCCAGAAGCAAACGAAGCAAAATAATGCAGTGACTACAGCTGTTCAAATGCCCTTATCTAAACCAACTGTGCCTAAGTCTCAGATTTCAAACCTGTGATGCTGGAGTTTTTTTACTCTCCCCTAGGTGTTCTGAAGTGACATTTCTTGGAGCAGTAACTGCCCTGCTAATATCCATTCCTAAATACTGGCACAACAGAAGATTCTGCTCTCTAATCCTAGGACATCATATTAATGATCTCAAACCCACAGCCTCAAGTCCCTGTCACAGAACAACCCTTAACAGTGGTATATTGTCTGGCAAGACAAAACAAGCACTACTGCCACCGAGCACGGAGATGGGGAGATCTATGGCCCTTAAGAGACCAGCAGTATTCCATAGAAGTGTTAAAGTCATGGTAGGACAGCCAAGGAGAAGGAGGAGGACAGACACCGGAGCAGGCAGGAAACAGGGAAAGTGGGTGCTTTCCCAATACCAGAAACAGCCATGAAGAAACACACCCTCATTGAAGCAAAGAGTGTTTTAGTTGCACAGCCCTAACTATTAGCTATTAAGGGGGAAAAAAAAGCATAGGCAAACCCCACTACCAAATGGTGATTTGTGGGGGCTTTTTGAGTTTTGATTTTTGTGGTTTGTTTTTTGTTTGGTTTGTTTTGGTTTTTTTGGGGGGGTTGTTTGGGTTTCTTTCCCCTTTAACATGTACATATCAATGGTGTGATTTCAGCTATGCTACTCAGGTGCACATCTGATGTAGCTGCTGTGGATGCCTTTCACAGTTCAGGAGAAACAGCTCTAGAGGGCAATTAATCTCATCTTAAGGTAGGTATCTAAGAGCAGATAAAACAGGCATCTTTGGACTGAGATTTCTCACCATCTGATATAACATGAATGTAGGGTGCTGAACACAGACACCAGTCTCTCACTGGAGACAAGGTAAAATCTCACTGATTAGGAAGAGGTGGGTCTCTGGCGCCATGTACAAACACTGCCTTGATACCTGTGTTCCACCACTCTTCACTGGGGATTTAAACACAGCAGAGCCCTCACTCTGAGAAGACCACCTACTCCAGCCTTTCACAGGCAGAGACACCTCCATGAGATCTACCCTTCATGCCCTGACAAACAACTGCATCATTCTGCACAGGTTAGAAAAGCCCTACTAAGACTTTACAGACTTTCACGTCAACTATGAGAGTGAGCTAAAGAGCTGTATGACCCAACCAACTCCGTCAACTGGCATGAGATTACTACTAAACTTGATGTTAAGAGCTACCAGGGTTTTACAAACATGGTCTGAAGATGATCCAGGAAGCTATTAAGCATGGCCAAAAATTCACCCTTTGGCCAACATCCATCATAAGCACCTCACTTGATGCAGGTTTTCTAAGAGGACCTGTTTTTAAAAGCTACTCCCCTCTCTGCGTTTCTCTGCTCTCAGTCAGCTCTGACAGAGGTTTGTACATGGCACAGTTAACTACATGTCACTCAGAACTCATTCTAAGAGCGGACCCTCACATTTACTTGAGGACCAGTTCTGTAAATGAGAGTCTGGAGGACATAGGAAGTGTGCCAATTGTCTGTTCAGTGCAAGAGAACAGTCAGTTCTCTACCAACAGGAGCATGTCCTTTTAGAAGACTTTAAATTCTGTACCAGTTTTAAAATGTTACTCCGACCTCACCTACACATTCATGACAGACCTCAGCATCTCAGAAGCTACTCTGAGATCCATGAAGGGAGTGTAACACTTTAAGCAGAGATAATTATAAGGGCAGAAAGGAAGAAAGGGAAAGAAGAGACAAAGTTTGTTCCACGGTTTTTAAAATAGAGTTTTAGAGTATTTGTAATGATACTGGTTTAAAAATAATGCACAGCTAGCTTGAAATGCAACAAGGAAAGGCTATTTAAGTGAATCCAGCAATACATGGGTATGAATAACTTTGCACCATAGATCACCTTTTTATCTTCAAGATACTCGATGTTTGCTGTGTTATATCCATCTCGTTGGCCATGGCTTAAGACCCTAAAACGACGGACACCAACTGTATCAACAACTGAGCGTCCATCAGGAAAAAACTTTACGTCCCTGATCTCTAATATACAGCCATGATCTGCAAATCTGAAATGACAGAAGGGCATAAAAGTGGAAGTCATCAACACGTGTTTACAGACATCAGGACAAATACTGGGCCTAATTGAGCACTTCTTATTTGAAAGAGGATCCTGCTTTGGTGACAATACATTTCTGCTTATTCCCATAAGCCACACAACCCCCACCCTTTCTGCCTTCCCTCAGAGGACCTGGACAGCAGTATTTTCAGGGCATGTTTGTGGGGTGGGATGGTTGGAAAGGGACAGGAAACTAAATAAAGCATGTTTCATTCTGGGAGTTGCCAGTTGCTGGTGGCAAATTCACCTGGTTTGCAAAGAAAACAAGATGGGTAAAGATACCATAAGGAAGCCCAGAAACTGAAGAAAAATGTGAGGGCTATCCCCCTACTCCAACATGTAAGCAGAGGATTGCAGGCTTTAGAAGAAAAAGGCTTCTATATAGCAAGATTTTTGTTGCATCTGTTTCCTTAAAAAAAAAAAATCAAAACAAACCCAAAATACTCTTTACAAAAGCACATTTGTATCCATTCTATTTTAAGTAGGCACAGGTTTTAATCACACCCTGGAAACGAGCGTGCAATAAATTTTTACTTTATCAAGATTACCTACTCTACCTTTGTGCTGTAGTGATTTCACTAGAGAGGGTGATTGTACAATGACTCTTCACCACAATACATTTGCAGCTCTACACCTCAGCCTACTGCTAGGCAGGAGAAAGTACTGCATGTATCTAGTCTCATCTCAAGATACCAAATCCCTGCAGGGTGTGATAAATTCTTTATCAGGGAAACATTTGTTTTACCAGGGCTTGGTCATTTCTTACAATGGAGTGATGAAGAAATTACTTCTGTTTCTGCTTTACCAGAAATTGTGGGTTTGTGAGGGGCAGAGGGGAAGCTCACCACTGCAGACAACTGTTCTCTTCCAGCCACTCCACAGGAAAAAAATCAGGACAAGCAAGAAGAGTACAGCTGCAAACAGCTAAGCCTTGCTGCTTTACCAGTAGGATTGATTTAAAAAAAAAAGTGAGTTTATTAGTTTATTACAGCAGCATTACACTAAACACTATTTAAACAGCTACATGACAATTGTTTTTAATTAAGGATTTTAGTGACATTCATACTGGATTTAGAAAATAATACAGAAGTGATGATTTTTTTCTTTTTTGTTGTTCTTTGAGAAGTTACTTTTGGCTAGAAAGTGACCTTAAACAAAGAGGTCAAGAAAGCACCTGGAGACGGATATAAAATGTACTGACACATTAGAAGTTTATATTCTCCCAGCTTTAACTTAAAATGGAGAAATAAAACAGAGGAAGGTAATGAACTGAACGTGTTTTGTCACTGTGTTTTTCAAGGGAGTTACGTATCCATGTCTTAGTAGATGAGGCAAAACAAGTTTCCCCACTTGTATTCCCAAGTTGATTTCGCAATTTTGAATAAACAAAAGAACTTCTTTACTTGTGTAAGAAGCTGCAACAGCCTGCTAGGTGTCTACAGCTACAGGCTTTCTTTGCTTCAGTGTTTGATTTAAATTATCATACTCAAAAAGTTTAATTATTTTAGTAACTTAAAACAGACCACACACAAAAACCTAATCACACGGATTGCATTTTAAAATATCCTTCATAATGTTTTCTAACAAACCAATTATTGTGTTTTGGGGATTGTAAGCCCTTGGCCCTCTGTATTATACCTGACTCCAAGGAAGTTTGGCTCTTCCAGAAGCCTTCATGGATATAAGGAGAGTTTCACTAATGTCCTAGGGTCATTCTGTCCTCACTCTTACAAGTATTTGCTTCCACGAAACTGGTAATAGACCTGAAAGGAACTGTGGAGCATCAGCTGCTGTTGGAACCTTAACTCCAGAGTGCAGCACTGACAACATGCCAAATGGCATTGCAGCACAGCCACAGCTGACTGGAAGCTGTAGCATCTCCTGTATTCCTATAGCCACCTTACTGTCCAGTCGGGGAGAAAAATAAAAAATCCTCCCCAAGAAAACATGAAGTGGACAAAGCAAGGCTGCCAAGCCTCAGTATGACTGCCCTCCTCTCACCTCCAATGATGATCACTATAAAAATGCTGCTCCTGAGGATGCCTGTTTAACGTGTTCTTAAGAATTCCCATGCCTGTCATCCATTCTACAGCCTGCATCATGCCAACGTATCTTCTGAAGTCAGTAACTATCACATCTCATAAGGCAGACCTCTCAAGACCACCTCGTATTTCTGCAATGAGCATAGTCTTATCACCTTCACCCAAAAGCCTATTATCTGTAAAGTACGTAAAACTTGAAGGTTTTCATAGGATCATAGAATAGTTTTGTGTTGTAAGGGACCTTTAAATGTCATCTAGTCAGTCTCTGCATAGGAAGCTGGAAACGCATCAATGTCAGAATTCACAAAAATGAATTAAAGGTAAAATCGTATAGAAAGACAATGTAACTCACTCGCTCACCGCAGATAGTTTAGACATTGCAACACAGAGGTAAAGACAAACATCAAAATTCAACATTCAGCAGCAAAACAGAGTTCTCAGCCAAAGGTATACTTTGTCTCATTAAAATGATACCACTCATGCGGAAAACCTATGGGAGGTCTGGATTTTTTACCTTATTTTTGTTTTGTTTTGTTTTTTTAAACTGAGCAGACAGAGGAGGAACCTTATACAGCCAGCCAGCTTTCACTGGAACAAACAGGCCAGCAAGCTTTCCAACCACACAGCCAATTAAGTGCTATTTTTGGAGCCTGCAGTAGCAGGATGAGTTGCATTCTTGCCATCCATCCAACAGGGGAGCAGTAAAATTACATCTTTGTGTCAAAAGGAATGTTTAAAGTACAGAACTAAGAAGTAAGCAACTTTAGTATTGGTTCACATAGGACTGGAAGGAACCACAGTGGTTTGGGGAGACAAGTATACTGTGCTGTAGTATTTCCTTATCATCACAACAGCCTCTGCAACAACAGGACATTCTTAGCTCATCTCCTTACCCTTTTAATTCATCAGCTAAGCACATGCCAAACTGCTTGGTACCAGTTTCCATGCATCTTCTTATCATTAGGCGATAACGAGGTTCAAAGACATGTAGCGGACAAGGGATGGTAGGAAAGGCCATGGTACATACGAAGATGGGAACATCTTTATTCAAACTGCAAGATAATTGTTTAAAAAAATTCACTTTGTTTTCTGGCTACTGCTATATTCAGCATGAACCCTTAATACAAGACTGATTCCAGTGGTTTCCTTAAACTCATTCTTCATAAATGTATGTCTGTTAAAGGTTTGTCATTTTTACAAGACAAATATATTTCAGACTCTTTCAGTTTATACATGGCATAAGATGCACAAGTCACTGACAAAAACTAGATTCTTGAACTTTTCCTGACCTTATCCATTCATAATTTGAATTCTACTCCCAGAAAAACCCTATTATAACTTTTAAAGCTATTATATTGTTTCAGAGGAAAAGGCAATTATCTTTATTTTAAGAATATTGTTGCGCCTCTCCAACATCCATGGATATGTTACTTGTTTATCTGCAATAAATATGTCAAAAATACAAAACATCTGGCAGGTTTGTTTATGAATTCATTCCCTTTACGCATTTTCATAAGCAAATGAAGCTTCTTCAGTAATTTAGATTGAAAAATACAGTTTTATAACAGCTGTCAGTAGTATAAAGAGAGCCTACTTTGACAATTCCTTCATTTCTTCCTCATAAACTTTCTTTCTTTCAGATAACTCCTCCGGCAGGTAACGGACTATCAGTTCTTCTGTAAGGACGGTCTTCTTGTAAGTTCTGCTTGCCAGAAACTGCAAGGAAGAGTCAACTCTTAAGTCTGATAACAAGAAGACAGGTAACATCTCTTCCTCCCAAGCCATCCTTTCCTAAGGCCAAAGAACACATTAGTTAGGACCATACTGATTTCTCATCCTTTTCAGCCTTAGGCATTGAAACTTCCACTTCAGGGTATGTGGTTCACTCCACTGTCCTTTTACCTGTAACCCCCCATACCCTTTTTTTGGCAGAAGTTGTACTACCAGGAAAAAAAGGCAGTCCTTCCTCACTTTTGCAGATGATACATATATTTTTTTCACCTAGAGCTGTCAAGTTACTGGCAAGAAATACTCTAAGAAATATCATGTCTGCAGGAGCAGAAGTGTTCACCAAGGAGTGACCATTCCTCATTCACCACAGGCAGATATACAGTCTGGAGATGTGGTATGAACAGGACTATAGCTGGCACTCCCCAGGCATGAGCCTGACATGATACTGGAAGCCTCTATTTCTTTAAGAACCAGCAAAACCCCTTGTCTTCCAAGAAATACCAAATATATCTTGGAGAAAATGAGGTCTGTGCACAGCTTGATGCTGTTGGTAATACTGTTTTGTTCTGGTTTCACAGAATCATAGAATAGTTTGGCTTGGAAGAGATCTTTAAAGCTCAGCTAGTTCAACCCCCCCTGCAGTGAGCAGGGACAACTTCAACTAGATCAGGTTGCTTGGAGCCCCATCCAGCCTGACCTTGAATGTTTCCAGGGATGGAGTATCTGCCACCTCTCCAAGCAATCTATTTCATTGTTTTACCACCCTTCAAGGTAAAAAATTTCTGCCTCATATTTAGTCTAAATTGACCCTCCTTTAGTTTAAAACTACGACCGGCAACAGGCCCCACTAAAAAGCCTGTCCCCATATTTCTTATAAGCCCCCTTGAAGTACTGAAAGGCTGCAGTCAGGTCTCCCTGGAGCCTCCTCTTCACCAGGCTGAACAGCCTCAATGCTCAGCCTGTCCTCATGCTCCACCTTCAGATCATGTTCGTGGCCCTCCTCTAGACCTACCCCAACAGCTCCATGTCCTTCCTGTGCTGAGGACCCCAGATCTTGACACAGTACTTCCAGCTGGGGTGTCACCAGAGTGCAGTAGAGGGGTAGAATCATCTCCCTTGACCTGCTGCTGAGGCTCACAAGTAGAGCACAAAAGATCCCCACACAGATGTTTTCAGAAGAACACAACTTTGTCATGGCTAGCCTTCGCAAACGAAGATTTAGGATGGCTCTATCCACATTTGTTACAAACACAACTTTGCGCAGTTTTGTTAATTGGGTCAAGGACATACTTACTTCTGACAGCTTTTCTTTGCAGAGTGGGCAAAGTGGATTATGGTCAAGGCAACGCTCAAGGCATTTGAGGCAAAAGGTGTGTCCACAGGGTGTGGTAACAGGTTCGTAGAACAACCTTAACATGAAAACATGGAACAGAGAAGCTAAGCTGCCAACAAAAACAATGCAGATTCCCAAAGAGTGAAAGGAGTGATTACTCCTAGCCCTCTCTTTCTTTCCTGCTTTTGTATAAAGTATGGGTGACAATTTTATCTAAGGATATAAAAGATTTTCATTTTTAGAAGTGGTAAACAATGGAGAACACCATGCATAATGGAGAAAACTGAATCTGTAAAGATTCACCAGATGTAAGTTTCAGCAAAAAGGAACAGAGTAATGATTTAGATATTCTCTCACAGGTTTCTCTTCTGACACCATGAAAACTTTTTTCAGAAGCTAGAAAGGCTTTCTAATATTAATTCCAGGTCAGCGCAGTCATACCTCATGCAGAGGGAACACTCAAAGTCTGATGCATCCACCAGAGTTGTTGGTATCTCACTTGAAGTGTCGGTGGTGTTTTCAGGTAAAACATCTGCATCTAAGTAGTTTAGAAAATTATTAGAGTAAATATTTAAGTATTGTTACATTTTCAGATGGGGTTTAGGCTGTTTTTTCATAAAGAAAAGATCCTGATTTTGTCTTTTACTTTTTAAGTTTTATTCCAAACAAACATATTTCCCATCTGAGTTTTAGGTTTTTTGACAGAAGATCTTTTGGAGAACAGAGGATGATGTCTATAGCCAGAGAACAGAACACCCATTATTTAGAGCTGAACACCCATTATTTGCTTCTCTAAAAATGATTGTGTTATGTGGTTTTTTTAGTCTAGTTTTTAAAATACTCTGCTACTGCTTTTCCTACTACTATCACCACCTCCACATCAGCCAGGCCAGATGTTTTAAAGTACATTAAGTCCAGAATTTAATTTGTATACATCCAGTCAACATATTTCATCAGTGTTTATCACAGATTTCTCAGCAGGGTTATTTTTTCTTACAAGTATAAAAAGTTTACATACTTCTAGACTAGGCTGCTGTGCAAATCCCACATTTCAGACAGCTTAAAGTTAAAGGACTACTGGAGTTGCATTAGCTAATGCTGATTCTACCAGCTCAGCAATCTGCAAACACAGAGGCAAACACTTCACTTAAAACTCTGCCCAGACTGATGTTTTGGGGGTGCTTTATAGCCCTGTGGTGTTAGGGTATGAGCTTTAAACTTTACATCAGCATTATTTAAGCTCTTAAGCTCTCAGCTCCAGCTTTGGATTACATTTACATAGGCAATTTCTGCAACTTCTTTTACAATTCATATCTTTGTTGCTCAGTGACAGTTGCAACAGAACCATGAATGGTGCCTTCACACTCTGTTCTGTTGAACAAATTTTTGACCATTTAAAAAAAACCAAAAAGCTCAGCTTTTTATGTTAAGTTAAACTGCTAGGAGATTTTGTTAAATGATAGCTTATGCTCAGCATCTGATTTACCTCAAGCACAGACAGGGTAGATGGTGTGTGGCCTACAAAGAAAAACAGCACTATCTTTAACCTACATCTCACCTGTTAGCATTTAGTAATAGCAAGAACTAACTGTATTAATTCTGCAAAAAGTAACATGGCACTGGGACCTAGCACAGACAAGAAATTAGTGGTTATGTGTAAAATGCAATCTCTGGCCTTTGCTAGGAAGATACAGGTGGGTCAGATTTCACAATCTATTTACTGAGTCTGCAGTTCACAAGCAAGTACACGGTTTTCCCTTCACAGCAACATGATCAGAAAATGGCTATATATTGATCATTTGTAGAGGTGGCGGACAGACAGCAGCACTCAAAGACTCTTAATATTTCAAGACAGAAGTCAAACTAATCAAGGTGCGGGTTGTTTTTCTTTTCTTTAAGGGAAAAAATGCAAACTAGTACAGAAGCATTTTTAAAGTTTCTTTTAACCAATCATTCCACTACTGTGAAATACTCGCCTTCAGCATTTTGAGCCCTGAGTACTAAAACCACTCTGGAGGTCTTTGTTAGAAGCTTGAGTAGCATATCAATTGTAAGCACAGTTATCAAGTAACAGAAAACTGGGTGGGCTTATTACCCTTTAAAAGGCTTCTTTGTTTGCTTGGAAAATTTCATGTAAAGTTGCATGTGACCGTTTCTGATGCCAGTTAAAGATCAGTTTCCAGGCTTACTGCATCTTTCAATCATAAAGACAGACAATGAAGTTCAGCTATAGCTGAGACCTAGAAAATGGAAACGGCACCAGCAACACAAAGACTAAACTGTGAGTGGGCTACACGTTGGAAATGGCCCGTTTGAGAAAGAAAAATACAATTTTCATTCAGTGAACTGAAACTGCTCTGAAATAAGGTAAATAGGCTGTTACACAGACACAGAAAACAAAATATCATTCCAATTCCAATAGGGAATATTTCATTGACACCTATATAAAGGGAGGAGTAAAAGAGTTTATAGTTTTTCAGTATGTGCAAGAGAAATTGCCTTTCTAAGCCACAACACAAACCTTTTTTAGGAATCTTACTGGGGACATCCAAACTCTGTAAATCCCTCATATCACTGGACAGCTTTCTTTTTAAGCCAACCCCAGGTAAACTGGAGAGAATAGCTCCCAAAGACTTCTTGTTGTCTTCAAAATAGAGATCCAGAACATGATGGGAAACAGGAGAATCAGTGCTTCTGAATACATCAGATTCTTGGGACGGGGTTTTTGTTAACCTGAACACAGTATCCTAAAACAATTAAGAACAGTTATATACAGCATGAGACAATTTTGCTTTGCTTTTTTCTATTAGTTCTATCAACAATAGGTCACTCTCCAGTTGCATGAAATAGGGCCATTTCTCTCCCTACAGCTCTTGTCTCTAGAAATTATGTTCCTGTTATACTAAAATCCTTAGTGGAAAAAACTTGCCCAAAAATACAACTGACCCCCACATGAAGGTATCACATTGCTTTCTGAAGAAAAAGTTTCATTCTCTTATTCTTCTGAGAAAGTACATCCCAATAAGAGATACAACAGCAATGGAGAAAACAGGCTTACCATGAAAGTAAATGCCTACGTGAGTGCAGACAAAGACAACGTCACACAGATCAGACAGATCCTTGAGTTACTTTTGGTATTTTTATGTTGAAAACTTTTTGTTTTACCTTTGAGGACCCAGCAACAGAGTTATCTTCCACAGCTGACTGTGTATTTATGCTACTCAGAAATGCAGGTTTCAATCTTGTATGGGATGTTCGACTAGAGAAAGGTGCTGTTAGACTATCATGCACATTTTCAAAGGCTGGGAAAAACATCTCACACATTATCTAGTCAATTAAGAGAAAAAAAAAGAAAAAGTAATAATTACAACATAGATATTTATGTTTGTATGAACACAGATGCAAAAACTTCACAGTTTGTAGATGCCAAGAAGCTTGCAACAACCAGGACACCCTGCATTCCCCAATGCCCATGGGAAACCTGAACGGCAATCCCCACCACAACCACAGTCACATTCCAAGGTGCTCTTCAGGTGCCCACCTCATTCTCCAAAGGCTTCTGCTCTCCAGGAGCATCCAGGGCAGCAAACAGGCTGTTGCATCCTTCTCCTGACCCTACCTATCTCTATTCTGACCCTCAGACCCTGCCTTCAGAAGTCTTCAGACCATGCTCTCCCAGCTGGTTAACAAAGATGCGTGTAAACATTCCTCATGCCCTGCATCCATGTTCTCTATCCTCAAGCAGATTTAACCCCTAGCTAAAAGCTGTGTAGAGCCAGTTACCCCTCTCACCAGTCCCCACCAAGTTTGCCAAATCCTCACTGCATTTTTATAAAAAGCTGCCTGTATCGACTTTCACAGAATACCTGATGGTGGTTGGTTAGCACTAAGTGTGTCTAACTTCTCATAAGGGACAAACTGCTACAAATACCACAGGATTTTTCCAGGAAGGGCAGCACAAAGCTTCCCCTTCTCAACTCTCTGCCACTCCCCACATAAAAGTGATTTTCTGATGGTACTAAAAGTAGGGGCCTCAAGCCTGTGCAATCCAGGTGCTTACGTACCAACCTACTCAAATTTGGCTGACACACTACAAGCATAATTTACAAATTACAGCAGACAAACCTACAGATTTGCGGTGTAATTCACAAACATACAATTCCTCTAGTAAAGAATCAAACCAAACCGGAGGGGTGCTTCACATAGCATAATGCTAGAAAGATTCACTAGGGAATCTACTGAATCAAATTATCATTTGGCTGTTTACTGTCACTTGAAATAACATGAATTTTACTTGGCTGTAGGAGTAAAAGAAGCATGATGGCCAAGTAGCCAGTAAATATTTTTTATACCTTTTGGGCTTCTTTCTTCATTGAGCTCCATTCAGGATTTAAGGCAACACAATAAAGAAACTCCTTCAATGCTTCCTCAGTCCTTTCCAATCCAGAAAGAGCTTTTGCTTTCACATAATGGCCCTGTTCACACAAAGGAAACGTACAAATCTAGAGATCATTTCTGAACTAGCAGCAAGACACCAGAAACAAACTTGAAAGTTCCCATCATTCTGCAGGTGAGAACAAGATGCTTTTTGGGTAACAAAAACGCACATGATTGAAGGAAATTCAGTCCCTTCTGCTGAAAAAAGATTCCCCAGGAACCCACTGCTGCATCATCCCCTGCCAAAGGCATTGCTCTGTTCCTCAGAGGAGACCTGAAAATGAAACAGTATATTTGTCTCCCCAAAGACAAAGTCTACTACACATCCCACTGGGCTTGGATACACCAGAGAACAGTTTCATGTACCAAGGCAAACTTAACAGTAATTCAGCTGCATGGAAAAGGCAGTGATATGAGGAAGGCTGGAGGTGGCAGCTGAGGGAGTTCAGGACACTCACTCCTCCTGGGTGTCTTACCAGGACAGAGGTGATTTTTCACATATTTTATTTGGCTACAGAAGACCACAACATTATGAATTTAGGGCAATTTACCAATGCTTAATCTAAACTTTTTAGCCCATCCTACCTCTCCCATGTCCTGGGAGAGGACACGCCAACAGGCATGGTAGCCAGCTTGGGAACAAGTCCCACTTTACTCGCTACTAATAACAAGAGAAAAATGTCTCACCTCTGAATTTCCCTGTGGACATCAAACTGCAGTTCAAATCTGACTACGGAAATTACTTCCTTCACAATGAAAACAAACTAAGTGTGCATTTAAACATTTGCCTCTCACTTATTAGATAGAAGTGTGCTCTGGAAGTCCACCTCTGACCCACACGAACATCTACTGAAAGTACAGCTTTACTCATCTAAGGGACTGGCTAGATAAGCAGATACACTTTTCTGTCCTTCATTCTAATGCCAAAAGATCCAGTACCGCATAATCTTCCTAAGCAGGTAACTCCCTCATTCTTTCAATACTGCCCTCCAAGCTGAGACCTGTTAAGATCTTTACCTTTACACTGTTGGGTAGGAGGCTCGTACCAAAAGGAAGTAACGGGCACTGCCTAGGCCAGATTAATTAGCACAATATCATTTGTTGACCTGAACAAGAAGCCTCAGTACACACCAGCCTCTTCAGGTGACATAATTTTTCTTTTCCTCAATGCAGTAAGAGAGGTACTGTGAGACCTGACCCTGACCTTCTTACCTTGATGCTTGCACAGCCCCTGTAAAACCTTAAGAGAGGTCTTAGCATGCCTGCCATCTCTGTCAGCATTACTTTCCTGCACTGGGGAGCCGACAAGCTTTTTTGGCCTCATCCTTTAGAGCCGTAAGAGCACTGTCCTTATCCAACCTGCAAGGGAGGACTGACCTGGGCTGTCTACAGACAAAGTACCTAAAGATCCAACACTGGGAGTTAGGCCCAGGGACCAGAGGTCCCTTATACTTCAGAGACTACTGCTGCCACCTTCCCTTTCTTATTTTCACACAGCCCTGCAACTGAAAACTCCTCCCTGCCTCAGAGAGTCTATGGACCTGGTTTTCACAGCAACTGAAAAGAAACCAACTTATCTATGCTGCAGTGACTACAGCATACCAAAGAACTTCACAGTAACTTGGCAAGTCTTTAAATTTCAACTGTCAATAAGCCAAAAGGTACTGGTAGGTGAATGCTTGCATCCCAGGAGCAACTCCTAGAATTACTTTTATTGTTTGGTTTTGGTTTGTTGGTTTTGGGGGTTTTTGTAACTACACAGCAAATGTTTGAGCTAATCTCTGTCACTGGATGAGATTTTGCAAGATACAAAACAAAGCAGATGCCCAGGACTCCTGGAGAACACACATTCTGGATCAGCACAACTTACATGGATGTCCTCACAAACACAAAACCATAAGTGAAGTACGTGTGAGACACTGCTAGTTATGCCATGATGACAAATTTCATTTTCAATTAACATTCTTCAGAGATGGGATTAATAAAACCTTTATCTGCCTACAGCTGACACACATCACATTTCCACAGATTCAGGCAAACAGAGAAGACACTTCAAGAAAACATTTGAACATGTGTAATTCATCTTTCTGCCCCAGCACAGAAGCACAGCCAACGCCACCCAAGATGGGATTCCTGACTTCATGAGAAATTATCCTAGACAGAAAGGCAAACTGGATGTGGGGTAAGATTATGAACTGCCTTCCAACATTAAAGATTTTAATGGGTGACAAGACACACAGCCTTCAGAGACTCAGTGCTTCTGAAAGCACCTCTCTGCTTGCCCCGCATCATCCCTGGCTGGAAATGAGCACTAGCTGCAGCCCCCTTTGCTGAGGCAGGCAACCAAGGCCTTTATGCAACTCCTCCTTAGTCTCCACAGGAAGCCAAGGTCTGCCCTCCCCAGTCCCCCATGTCACCCTCTTTCCAGAAAGCACCCAGAGGCTTTAAGTGGTCTAACTTGTGCTGCAGTTTTGCTGCTGAAGGGATAGGGACTGACTGAAGGTGTAATCCTAGGTGGGGTGAGTTGCTGGACATCTAGTCTAGCCTCAGGCAACCAATGGTAATGATGGGCATTTCTGATGCTTGCTTCAGACTGCCCACAAACCAGTGCTCTTTGTAGCACTTCCTTTCATTATGAAAAAAATCCCAACCCCTCTATGAGTCACCATGACAGAGGTGGAAATCACAGATATGAAATCTTAGGATTAAAGAAGGGGGAAAAAACAATCCTGAAATACAGTCTGAGGTACTCCTCGGAAAGACACATTGGCCAACAGCCTGTCAAGACCATCCACTGCCTTGGAACATCATCCCAGAGGGACCTGCAGGGCCATCCTGGGCTGCTGGTGCCTTATAGATCCAATTCTGCTTCCAAGCTGCAGCACTATCTGTAACAGATAACAGGTGCCAGCACAAACAAAACCACATCGCTGCCTGCCCACTACCAAAATACCACCAGCTGGAGAGATGCTAAGGACCTTCCAGACTTGTCCTATGAAGAATTGGCTCTTGGTAGACATTTTCAGCCCTCTTAATGCCACAGTGTTTTTCCGACAACACCCTCAGCAGCCACGCTGTCCCCAGCACAGAGAAAAGCCCAAGAAAAAGGAGTTTTCATTTCGTTCTTTACAGCATGCAAACACCGTACCGCAGGCCAGTGGGGTTTGTTTCGGCAGAGGACATCTGCGTCGTGAAGAGCTTGCTGGTAGTTTTTCATCAACGTACAGAGTTCTGCCCGCTGTGCTATTAGTGAACACTTGCAAGGAGCTGGAAAACAAAAATGATTGCACGGAACTTCATTAAAAGAAGCACTAGGACATGCTAAATACAGTAACCTTATATCCAGCCAGAGTAACTTAAAAAGCATTACTGCACAACGATTACATTTATACTCTCCTGTAAAGGAAAGAAAGGTCAATTCCTTCATTCTTTCCTTCTCAAAATATATTCCTCTCAGCCTGGAAGCAACCTCCGTGTTTTATCTAGCAAGACAGCTTTCATATTCACATACAGGATGCCACCTGCTCTTTCCCTCACCTTGCTTACAGGACATTTCAGAAAGCAAAAAGTGTTTCTCCCCTCAGTGAGAAATCACCAGCGAAGGACTTGAAAGAAATCACAAATGCAGGACTTCAGCTAAAACGTTCCTGGAAGCCATTCATTAAGAAAAATGCATGCAGCCTTCACACTTCATATCCACTTGCCTTCCTCGGGGCAGGCAAACCTTTCATGATCACACACCTTGCTTCTGTATCCACAAATTCATGAATCATTCAGTTTGCATGGATTATGAACTTCTCAAGCATTATTATTTTGTTCTTTTCTCAGGCCTCTCGAACACATTTTAAGCTGGAAATCTTCCTCCAGCATAAAACTTCATAGAATCACAGAAAAAAACTGGCTAATCTGCATTCAGTTGGTCCACCAGGACCTCCAGCTCTTTTCTGCAGATCTGCTGTCTAGCCCAGCCCATCCTGTTGCACAGGGTTATTCTGTCCCACGTTCACCTGCATTTGCAATAGGCAAGGCTGATCAGCCCATGCCCAAGGTTGTTGGTCTGAATGGCAGCCCTGCCCTCCAGCACATCAACCTCCCTCAGCTTGGTGTCATGGACAAACTAGCTGACAGTGCGCTCTTGGCTGCTGATGGAGCTTGTTAATAAGGTGCTGAGCTTTGTCAACCCCATTACCAACACCTGAGCAATGCCACTGGTCGTCCAGCAGCTCTGAAGCCATGAGACACCACCTCATGCCTCTGATGGTTCAGTCGATTCTCCACCTCCCTGCCACTACTTCCCCAGCTTGGCAAGAAGGACATTGCAGCAGGCTGAAGTAGCAGCCTTGCAAAACACATGCTAAGTCCCAAACAACACTCTGCTTTTGTCCACTAAAACAGTTACCTCATCTTAGGAAATCAAATTTATTCCTGGTCACTCTTGACCTTCATGTGCTGGGAAAGGCCTCCAGAGGGCTGGAAGCTGGCTGCTAATAGCTAAGTACAGTAACTCTTACCAAAATGTGAGCTGGTTAAAACTGTCAGAACCAGTAATAAACTTTACAAAGGCTCCAAGGTGCTGAGAGATGGTATCGCATTTTTACAAATTTTAAACTTCACCTCCAAGCTAGCTCTCTCAAGATTTTTCCATCAAATGTCACCTTTTGCACATCCTCACGCAGGGTTTCTGTCTCCGTACCTTTCCTGTTCTCTCCAGCCTGCTTTGCTTCACCGTTTGCATCTCACTTCAGCCAGAGCATCATAAACACGTGCTCAATAAGACCACATTGCCAATACGAAGCCTGGGCACATGCACACGTGTGCATGGACAGAGAGTAAGCACAACTGCTGCAGGTGTCACCACTCATTAAGTTCAAGCACCTACCAGGATGGATGGCCCAATATCACATCCCTCTCCCACCTCCTCCCCTCCCTTGTGCTGGTGCAGCAAACCAGGCTCGCATGGTTGCGCTGAGAACCAGAGCAAAGAATCAATTGACCGAATGCTAATTCAATAAAAACAAATAAATAAAAAGGTTTAAGAGGATCAGTTTCCCCTCAGCTAGTTCACTGCACAGCCACACAAATATGAGTGCCGGGACAAGGGATGAGAAGGAGAGTAACAGCAAGGAGTACTGCTGCCTTTTTTGGCTGTAGCATGGACTGACACCAGATATACTAACGGCAGAATGACATATCAGGGGTGATGCTGCTCCACTGGTCTCAGATGGTGACAGCTAGAGAAAACACTTAAAATAAGGAGGTCTGCAAAAGCTAGTTCAAACTGGGGTTCTGTGTGGTTTTTTGTCTGATTGGTTTTGTCTTGGTTTGCTAGGGTTTTTTCAACTATTACACTTGGAAGCTTCTGCAGTGATCCACATTTCTAGCTCATAATTCTTAAAGACTACAAGTTGAATGCAATTGAAAGTAATTAACCGAAGATCTTCAGAAGCAAGTTTTTTGTTTCTTTTAGCAGATGCTCAAGTAGGAAATTATTTAACTTAGCTACATTTGAACAGTGTAAAGTAAGAATGCATAGTCTGTATTTCCATCGTTGTATCTGCTGTACAGCAGGTGTGAAGAGTATGTTGAGGGGGATAGGGGCAGTAAGCAGAGGTAGGCACCTCAGCAGGCAGACAGGGCCCTGGGTGGGGCATTTTCTGGCACCACAGGGAAAGGAAGTAGTGTGAGATTAAGGGGCAAGGCAAATCAGCTTCCTGCTTCTGTTTACTACCACACATTTTGAGCATGCCGATGCTTCCCTGCACACTATTCAACACAGTTCATACATTCAGCAGACCCAGAGAGAGAACAGCTTCATCAGCTCTTTTTCAGGATCTTGTCTCTGCTGCAAGACTTCTAAACAAAAAAATGCCAGCGCACAGCACAACAGTGTAGCAAAGGCTGCAGGTCCTCCAGAAGCAAAGTTCAAAGGGTCTCACAATATGAAAGGAAACAAGCTACCGAAAAAGAAAAAAGGGAACCACCCCGAGGCAAACCAGAAAAGCTATGTGTGTATTCAGAGCTTGTGCTTCTTGTTCACTGAAGACTCATTCAGAAAGTGTAAGGTGTGGCCTATCTTAATGAGTAATCGGTAACTGGCAAGGAATGTTTAGTTAACTGAGAGAAAGGATAAAAAATCTCAACAAACCAAACAGCATCGCTGAAGAGAGCAGTATTTATGAGACTATAGCATAACAGGTCTTCTAAAATGAAGCATCTAGACAAGATGCCACAGCTGGAGCGCTGCCCAGCCACCTCCATTCAGGCTCCCCCACTCCCAGAGCGGGCAGTGCAGCCTGAAATCTTGCCAGCTCTGCACCCAATCCATGCATCCCTCATTCCCAGCCTCCTGCTGTCAGCAAGACTGTCCTGGGAAGATCTTTGGGGGGTCCACAACTGGTCAGGGCAATGCTAGATGGACTGAAACCTCATGTTCTTTGTCAGTGGAAGTGTGGCATCAGCTGGCTGACTCCAGCTTAGGGTACATGTGGAAGTGTACACCACAGCAAGGATTGTGGTGATTATAATTAATCACAGAAGGTGGACGGAGAGGGCTTGAGGACATACAGTTTGTGAACACTGCTAGATGCCAGTATACAAGTATGCCAGTATTCAAGGCCAGGTTGGAAAATGCCTTGAGCAACCTGGTCTAATGGGAGGTATCCCAGCCCATGGCAGGGGGGCATTGGGACTGAATGATCTTTAAGGTCCCTTCCAACCCATAACATTCCATGATTCTATACTATAACAACTGTCAAGTTTATTTGGTTAAAAAAACCAAACAAAAAAAAACCCAACACACAATAAATAAACACAAATAAAAAAATTGCACAATAGCCAAATTTGTTTTAAAATAATGTACTCACTCTTTCTTCTGGAGGTAAAGGAGGGGGGAAAAAGATTTTTTTTTTAATGAAACAATTTATTATTTCAGGCCAAATTAAAAAAGAAAAGCGTAGAAAATGTTACTGTTTCCAAAATACCAACAAATGGCATTTCCTGAATCAAACTCCTTCTGGGAGTCTGCAGCTGCACAGCAAAATTTATGTCCTTGTCAGAATCAGGGATGCACTGCTGAGGCTCCCAGGATCTGTGGCTCCGGGCAGCTGGGACAGAGAGACTTCCTCCGAGCCACAGGTCCTGGGAGCCTTCCCACGCTTCTCCCTCCCTCCCTCTCAGCCTCCCAGCATAATCCCACTGCAGCACACAAAACTGGCTCATGTAGGGCCCAGAGCCGAGGGAGCTGAGTGGGTCTTTGCCTCTCGAAATTTCCTTTGGACTGCCAAATATTGCCTGCCCAAAGTGTGGTTGTCAGCTTGGATTTCTCCAAAATGGTTAACTTTCCACTCACACCACCTTTGTGCTCATCTGCAGACGTTTGTTACATTGTGCTTTTACTTATGCAGAAGCTAACACTCAAAATTACTTTTACAGATATGCCCAAGCATTCAAGTTTTTAAAAAAATTATGCTGTTGAGTTCGAGAGGCTGGCAGGAGAACATGACTCCCCAAAATCTCCTTGGGCCAGGAAGGGAATTAGAGTAATTAACAGAATTTTGCCCAACTGATCAGAGATGATAATAGAAGTTTTACTGTAATAAACTACCACTGAGATTTCTTCCACGAACTCAGCAGAGAAAGAACAAGCTTACAGTTACTAGAACTCCCTAATCCTCCTTATCTGACATTTCTTCCTAGAAAATCACATCTTGTTCAAACCTATTTCAATCCTAAGCGTATTTCCTGAAGGCATGAGCAGAACTGAAACAGTGTCATCACAAACACCTTTCAGTCTTGCTTATAAGAGTAAGTCTGCATGGTACTTCAGGGGAAATTTTTCCCACATTTTGAAGAAACTTCTGCCCTAGAGAGATAAAGAAATCTGGCTTGCTCTGTTATGTTATGCATTCAGTTCTGAACAATTCAGTATTGAAAGCCTTTTCATAAGCTTGGAAAATAATAGGAAACATATATTTTCATTTCAATGAGAAATTAGCAAGGTTTAGTAATTAACTGAACAGAAAGTAGTTTTTCTCCCCCAAACTTTAGGGAAGCATGAAAAGTCCGCACACAAAAACTGGATGCACAGGGTTGTTTGGTAGAGGGTGGCACAGAGAAAGGGCCACATTTGATAGAATTAACAGAAGCAGTAAAGACATTCAAATAAAACTTTATTTCACAGCGAAGACGAAAACCAGGATCAGCTTCCCAAACCTGATTAAGGGGGACAATGAAGATGACCACATACTTGCAATCAGCAGGCCTGTTTT